TACTGAGTTCATCGTAATCATATTTTTTTAAAAAAAAAGTAATTGAAAATTAGATTTTATAATAACAAGTATGTATTATATTGTTAGTAATTGTCAAACCTAAAATTGAACAACAATGATTACCTATACTAAACTTCTACTATCAATAATGATTGCCGTTTGCTTATTATTTAATATTGTTTATTTAATAATTGCCTATAAAATGTTCATACTTATTTTCAACTAGTGTTTTTCCCATTAGTTGTTATATGATAACTTAATTTAAATGCATATTATTATTTCATACAAATTATCATATCATAATAATGTGTCTGTTCAAATTAGATTTAGCCTATTATAATTGTATTTAAAAATTATTGATTAATATTGTTTAATATTCTGAACTTTTCCTTATAGAAATGTACACATATTATGTTATTTTTACTTATAACCTAATACCTATAGTTAATTTAATACAACTGTAACGTTAAACTATATCACGAAACAAACATCATTTTATTCAAAATTTGACTCTATTTTTTTAAAACCACAATAGAATAGTATTATCTATAGGGATTAAACAATTAATTAACATAGCAATTTACACGATATTATAACAATTTCATAGTCTTAGAATAAATCCACCAATATGAATTCTGTTTATTTTTTCGGAAGACGGATTATTTTAACGAAACAATTAATAAATCACTAAAGAAAAAAAAAATGTGCTATTAAATATTTTTGTAATAAATTGATTTTCTTAAATATTTCATTGAACAATATTCTGCACAAATGTACAATTATACGAATGCGCTTTTTATATTACCATTGGGTAAATAAAACCGTAAAATTAAGTGCTCGCGTTTATAACATAATGACAAATTATTTTGCTTTCACTTTATCCGTTATTCTCGATCATTAAAATTTAAATACCTTCTATAAATATTAAGCGTACATACTGTAATATTCCGTGCGCAATTGTTCTGTGATTGTAAATAAAAAAAGAAACGTTTACTTAATGTAAAACTAACCAAAAATTATGTTGCAATTAATGCAATTACTTTCTACATTTTAATTCTTTCGATACCCCTTTACAAATTTATATGCACATTTTTATTGACAGTGTATAAAGAAAAAATGTATGAACAGACTTTAAGCGCACTGCGCAGGTGTATATTATACATTGGATGTTTAGAGTCGTACAGTTTTTGTTAGAAGTTTTATCACGTAAAATGTTTATTTAAAAAAACTCGATTTTTGATTTATTTCATTTAAGTAGCAATAACACTATTGCACCGACAGCAATAAAATATACAATTACAGGCGTTGTTCATTGAATTGAGTTGTGCCAACAATATTATTTAACTCTTCTTATAATATGTTTTATTATCATTGCATTGACTATACGGTTTCATTGCTTTTATAGTTTTTTTAAGTGTTAATCTGATTTATTTTCTATTAAGATAATTTTTTCTCGTTATAAGCTTCAAATATTGTGTTTGAATGTAATATACATTTTACGTTGTTATTTATTTTAGTTATGAGGTCAAATGAATAATCTTTTGAGATTATTTTTTGCCGGGGAAAATGCGATAAGTTATATAAAACAACGTAACTACATTAGTTGAATGTTCTTAGTTTCTTATTTATTTTTTATACCTAATCAAAAATATGTATATTATTGTTAATTGCAGACTTTAATTTAAATGATATATACATTTTTTGTAACTATTTTATTCAAACTATTAATCAATGTAGAATAGTTTAAAAAAAAAGATTTTTATAACGTAATTTACTACATGTACGAAGATGGGTAAAAAAAAATGTAGATGAAAAACAAGTGACCCTCTATCGAACCCTATTGTGTATTACGTCCTTGAAATCTAAACGATTAACTTAAAAACCAGTTTATTTCCTATATAACCAGATGTTATTAAATCGTTAAATTATTGGAATAAAACCCTTATTTTTTTTTTTTGCATAATATTTTAAACTACTTAATTATTTATCAACCCAACCTAACCTAAACGTTTATATAGAGGTTATACCTATAAGTTAGTCGATTTATTTGAGAAAAACAACCAAAATACGATTTAGAGCCTTAGAAATTATATACTATTATTCTTATATTTGTACATGATTTTGAATATTATGAACCACAACTTACCTATACTATACAATTTGTTTCGGATGGTTATACAATAATGCAATAATTAATAAAGATAAAATTCCAAAACATTTTTAAAAATTAAATGTTCGTAACGTTTGTCACCATAGAAATATTAATTATTAATTTCTGTTTTTATTTTTGTTTGGTTCTTTTATCATTTTATAAAATGTATTGTGGTATAAAATACACAACACAAAACAAATATGTAATTATAGAACAATTTTGTTGAAAGGCGCCCTATTAGAATATATAGCTATTATTTAACCTTAGACATTTAAAAACCAACTATTGTAATTTGGTTATACATTTTTTATGAATAGTGACATGAAATGACACCTGTATGGCTGCATAACAGATTCTATGTAAAAACTTCTTCGCTTTCGTTACACACTGATACGCTAAAAAAAACAGTAACTGAGGTAATACCTACACATAAATATTATATATTAGTGTTTATTGAAAATTGAGTAACTTTTATACTTAAAAACGAGACGATAAACCTTTAGTAAAACAACTGCAGAAAACGTCAACAATAAATATTGGTTACAATGGTTACACTGTACAGCTGATTCTTAATTAATATTTACGTTAATACTCTTCATGTCTTGTATTTTCATGTTAATATAATCAATATTGTAGCAAATAATTATGATGTAGTGCACTGCTCTCAAGCGCAACGACACCACCGCATGGTCATATTATTGTCATCTGTTTAATAATCAATCATTAATTACTAATAAATATCTACAAAAAAATTGTCGAACAAAATAATAAATCATCAATTATTATTATTATATATTGTATCGTCTTGAATAATCGAGTTCGAAATAAATATGTACATTAGGGTTACTATTATCTTCGGAATATTAAAAACAATAAAAACTAAACTAATAGTAAATTTCAATATCTTGAACTACAACACAAGTGCACAACCTTTTGATATAATTAATATTATTTATATCCCATTCAATATCATAAATGTGTAGTAATTTAAAACATGTTTGCTAACTTAGCAGATAACATTTAAAGTATTTATTATTCATAATTTTTTTTATATTTTAATTTTACCAACAAATCATATCTTCTTTGAATACTAATTAAGTATATTAACTTCGATTCTCTACAGACTATATATTTATGTATTATTGTTATTTGTTCTAATCAAAACAAAATATAAAACTGTTCAAAACAATTTATTGGAAAGTGGTTAAAATTTTACTTACGTTGAGAAAACATTTTCCTTTTTTTAATTTGACGTTGTATTATGCCCCGTCTTTGTTCGTCTTTCCATCGTAAACCTCGTGGCTAAATGGTTTAAAGTAGGGGTCTCCAAACTATTACCCACCAGCTGATTCCGGCCCGTCAAGATTTTAAACCAGCCCGACAGCCCCAACATACCGATTAATGTTTTGATCTTAAGAGTTGGGACTACCAGTTTCTAACTATATATATATATTAGATGTTATTGTGAGGAAATCGATGGTATAAATAAAATAATAAAAAAGATTCTTTTCTTGTTTTCAATCCAATCAGACATCACTAACCATCCTCAATAGATTCCGACTACCATGAAAAAAAAATCGAAGAGCCCTACTCCAAGGTAATGTCATACATTTTGTACCATTGAGCATGTTTTTAAATACAATATTGTTTTTTATTTAGTTGACACAATACATTGAATCAATAATATAATATTTGGGTGTACTACTGGTATCATAATAGGTACATAATAATATATGATATGATAAGTATATTATACTACTGTTTTCATTCATGCAGGTGCTAATATGTTTTATAATCTATAAAATGTAGTAAATATTCATTAGTACGTTGATATTTATTATTTAGTAAACAGTATTCAATATTTATCGCGCGTGTTGTGTAGTTTTATAATATTATAGGTACATCATATTATATGTATTTAAATATTTTTAGGATTTATATTAATATATTTTTGTTTCCGTTTTTTTTTTTTTTTTATATACAAATATAAAAACATTATTTCACTGATAAGTCACGGGCAGATACCAGGTGGTTGGTACGTACAACGCAGTCACTTTCCTGATTTGTCGGAGAAAATGTATGCCTAACCATGAAATCCAATGGTTCAACAGAGACGAACATGGAAACAAAATTTGAAATACCAAATGACAATCGTCGTCAACCTTTACATTTTGTCGCCAAGACGAACTCGGTGTTACACACGTGAGCGGTGGGCATGGCCGTGTGTCGGCGGGATGAGAGGGGGGGGGGCTGGGCGCTCCGACGATATTATTCTTCTTATTGCCTCGTGCGGGGGGGAAACTGCACGGTAAACGAAAATTATGATTATAATAAAAAAACCTAACGACAGCCATTACCGTCATCAACGACATCAACTGATAATTATTTATGTCAATAAACGGCAATAATAATTAATCGTGCAATACCTACACTTTCGCGTCGCTCGGGGTTGGGGAGCGGCGAGCCGAAAGTCGAAGGCGGCAGGCGAGCTCCTCGAAAACACGTGACGTGAGAGGAGTACGTCGTACAATGCGCACACGACAGCGACGACGGTGATGATAATATTATTATAATCTGTGAGGCGGCGGCGGCGGCAGCGACCTTGAACAGGTGTGAGGGGCGAGCGGTAGTGGGGAACCCATCGAGGTGGTGCGCGATAGTGCGCGCAGAAAACGCACGGCATGGCAGCCCTCGGAGGCAGGGCGGGCGGCGGTGCGAGGCACGATCGCGAGAGAAGTTCGACGGAAGACGTTGTCGCGAGCGCGTAGCGGTGGCCGGGGTGGGGGGCAAACTTAGTCCGGCTGTCGGGCGGCGACCGACACACGCCGCGGCCGATCTCGACTGTTCCTTCGGCGTACGATCGTCAGTCCGAATAACGCGATCGGCACGTACGCACCACACGCGTCCCAACCAGACGAAACGCGCTTCTTGCACGCAAAAAAAAAAAACAATCACACGGCGTTTTTCAGTATATTTTTAGCGACTTGTGCCTAGCGACAGCGAATGCCCGAGCTTTTCGATCCGATACACGATCGTTTTTTTTTTACCTCTATTGACCACGTTCGTCGATTGGCAAAGTCGTTGTTAATCACGCGAAAAATATCGCCCAGTGTGTTACGCATCACGTAAATAATTTTGTTATTAACGACAATAATATTGTACGCCGTACGCATAGTATTGTCTCGTGTAATAATAATAATATAATATTATTATTATATCGTTGTATAACAAAACAATAATAATTAATAATCAAAGCGTGTGTTGTTCGGTTTTTCTTGCACGCAACGCGCCGAAAATAGCCAACAACGGTAAATCGATTTATTGTTATTTATTCGAAACGAAATAAACAAGACGAGTGCGTCGTCGAAACATTCGAGCAGACAGAAAAGTTTGACAGTCAACGCGAAAAAATGACCAACTCGTTGTTCAACAGTGGAGAAACAGTCGCCAAGGTAAAAACAACACAGTATAATATTATCGTACTCGCTAATCGACGAGATGACGATGACGTTTTAATTATACAATGTTAATAATAATAATATTGGATACGATAAAATATCTAAGTCATTTCACCCTCCCTTCCCGACACATCGTTAACGACGAAAGTAGAGTCGCGGAGCGCGCGCGTAAAGCACGTTGTCCGACGACCATGCGAGCCACGTGCTTGTCGGTGGGCTTTGTTTTCGACGTGTTGTAATAATCGGTATAACGAACACGCACAGCGTATCGTCAGCCGAACTACCGACCCCCCTCCCCCCCAAAACACCCTGTCGTCGATGTCGAGACGGACTTTTTCGTCGCGAGCGTTGGCGTCGAAGCACCGCGACGACGTGCCTCACAATGATATCAACACAAAATACAAATTATAATAAATAGTATAATAATATATCAATATTAATAATAAATACACTTGCACGTATTATTAAATATTATTATTGTTGTACTATCGTTTTCTCCGACGCGGCGGCCCTACTGGCACCGCCAATCACGTGCTCCACTGCCGATAACGTCGTCGTTTTAATTGGCCAACAGGTTAGGTACGCCGACTTACAAAAATCTTACGAATAATAATAATTTTTTAAGTAAAAAAAAAAAAAAACACACACACGCGGGCGAAGGAGTGTGTAATTTCAGATCAGATTCGTGAATTCCGAATTGTTATTGGTCGTTATCGACGGGGGCAACCCATTTTTTTTTTCGGGTTTAATTTGTTTTTTGTGACCTATTGATAATACGTATTTTCAGTGCATCTTTGTCCGTTTTTGTGCTTCGCAAACACAATAACGAAAAATCATCTGTACACATATTATTATTATTATTATTATTATTATTATATATATGCTGCACACACGTGTGTGTAAACCTCTCGTCTGTCGTTTTATTCTCTCGTTTTACTATACTCGTCCCCTTATCTGCCCAAAGGGTCGACCGAATCTTCGGGTGGTATTAGTCTTCACAGCAACCACCTGTTCGATCCCCTTTTGTGCGCTCGGCAAGGGTCCATGTCCCGCCCGCTCTCGTTGTGTTTCGTCTTGCTCGCACGCACAAAGCACTACAACGACCACCGTATGTGCGTACATACGTCTTCTATTCCGACAGGTTTTTTTTCGATCCCCACAAATCAGTACATCACGAGCTCACATGTGATTATTTAACTGATAATGTGTCGTCCGATTTTAAAGGCCATGAACATTTGTTGATTGGTCTCCGTTTGATATTTTAGATACGCGTTATACATTGTGAAGGCCACTGCGTTTGTTCGATTGTAACGTGGTGTTTGTCCCTACTCGTACTGTGAAAATGCTCGACCAATTGGCCGTTGTATTTACTACGCCACTGTGAGTGTAGTAATATAGCATGGTCTACACTTGCAATATATTATACGCAAGTTTCTATTACGTTGAGGCTTAGACGACGATTCCAAAAAATTGAAAAGTTGTTTTACTTTAGAGGAAAGCAAACTTTCATATAAAAATACTTAAATTCGAATTTTTCGTTCGTTACGTTTACGGTTATATATATTACTGAATAACAAGAGCAGGTATTATAATTTTTGTATTTCATTAGAGCGATAAACTATAAGGTCACGGTAATATTGAACGTTTTATGTGATATCGTCATTTATTTTTATCGATTTAGATAGCTCATCTTCATTGCGTGTTTACATTTTGGCTATTTACACCGTTTAAGACGTTTAAGTGCTCCAATCAAAATCTCCAACGTGATAAGATATATAATAATAATGATTTCGAATTGTTGAATAAGTAAATTAACCGCCGGTTGTATGATTTCATAAAAATCGAAAGTGGTCACGGTTCGAGACTCCTCCGTTATACGTTAGTCTTCCGGTTTTCTCTGTTCTCGGGAAAACCGTTAAGATAATGTTTCATCAAAAACAAACAGACGATTACAATTTTCTCATAAATCCTATTGTCACGTTTCAAACCCCATAATTAATAATCAAATACAGTTTTTTATACACTTTAAATGAATTTCAAGCAATAAATATGAAAAAAAAACTATTGTTTTGAATTGTAATATTGAATTAAACAAAATTAAGGTACTTTTTATATGAGCCATCATTATGTCACCGACCCGCATCAGCCAGTTTAGAAAATACGTATAATACACAATGTTGTCGTACTCCTAGTATTTAGGTAAACGAAGTGATAAATTAACGTTTTTATTGATTCGAAGAATTACCAGAGTGTGTTTTATAAATATGTGTGTTTCGTCTGTGGGGGACAATCGCATGTTAAAAAGCAACTGAATAATGTTCAAACACAGACATTAGGTGCCTTTGTTAGTATATGGCTCCATATTGTTTGTAGTATCCAATGTTTAATAATACTTAGTACCTAATACCTACTATCTATTATAATTTATACGTATTGTTATCGTGAATTTTAGAAAAAGCAGTAATAAAAATAAGGACGAACGATTGATAGTTTAGGACGTATAGGTTATCGAACACGTCCTTGCCCCCGGGGGGGTCATACATGTGAGAGAAACAAGAGAAAGGAAATTTGCCGTATACGACCAGGAAGTTGTCGTCGCCGCCACCACTACCACCACACCCCGCGCTAACAAACCGCATTGAGACCCGCCAATCATTAATACAACGCAACTCGTGCATGAATAACACGTGGGCAGCTGCAAGCTCAAAGGAATTTCAAATAAATAAAAATTATCACCGTCTCTCAATTTTTTCGACTTTTGTCATGATTTACCTATTGCAAAAATGGCTATGTGGTTAAAAAAAATTTGATACTCAAATAGGTACTTAATAATTGTTACTCCCTCCCTAAAGAATTTAAAATTCGCATATCCCGTATGGTTGAATTATTATTACCTACTATGATTAGGTATTATTAAATTATGTATGAACGTTGTCCCGGTAGTAGTTACAGCTGCGTATAAAATTGCATACACAAACACTACGCGACCTTGTCACTAAAATATCGTATACACGAGAAGCACCCGTCCGTCCTACATACATATAATGTGTGTGTGTGTGTATGTTTAATAATAATAATATTATATATGGGTATGGCTTGTAGACGGTGACAATGGGTAATCATTATCAATTCAATAACATTTTGGGTTAGCGTTTAATTTGACTACATCTTCGTTTGTTGACATTGTAGTATTGCGTTATTTTGGCGAGTGTATTTCGTGGATGATATAAATTTTACGCTCAGCTATATCTTTTTTTTTCAAGTCAGTCACGTGTTTTTTACTTGAATAATTTATTTGTTCACTTTCTTCGTCCTTCCCGAAGTTGTCGCGTAATCGCATACGTTCGTGTGTGTGTTTGCATCGAACGTTTGTATATGTGTGACGTGTTTCCCACGACATCGACATGGTCGGCAACATCTCGAAGGGAATAAAAATAGATTAAAAAGAGAGAATATACTGATGTAATGTTTAAACGTCATCGTAATTTTTTTTTCGGACTTATCGGTGTGGGACACAATAAACGATGATAATTTTTTTCTTTTTTGTTACTACACGTGAAAATATTGTGTGTGCGTGTGTAGTATCGCAACAGCCTTATGCAACACCGTTCAAGACCGCACCGGTTTTATTTTCACTTTCTAAACACTGACCGTGTCCGTTTGTTGTAATATCTGTGTCTACGCATATTTTCGTTATTAGACAAAAAAACCAATATAATAGTAAAGAATGTAGTCACGGTATAAAACCAGGCGAAACTCACGCAGATGACAAAATAGTATCATGAAGAAAAATTGTCTTTGTTTTGATTTCGTACATTTTTATTTGCATGAAACAAAACACATAGTCTTCATACAAAAAACGTATAATTATTATTAGTTTTTAATGAAAATAATATATTATTGTCTTTACAAAAATTATATCTCCAGATTAGAAAATATTATTTTGATCGCTGATAATAGTGATAACCTATCTCTTGAATCCTTGATAATTACACCATAATAGTTATATTAATGTGTATAATATTTGTTAATTTAAAGGTCTAGTATATGATCTATCCTTAATTTTTAAATATAATAATGATAATTTACTGGTTGATTAGTTCGTTGTATACGCAATTACTCAGAAAATTAGTAGGTCACAAGAAATATGTTAATGTCGAATGAATTAGTAAAATCAAGCCACAACAAAAGGTATCGTTTAATAATATGTAAATATTACCTTGTCATTCTTTTTTATTCTCCTTCAAAAATCACGCACTATACGAATCTCAAACGTTATAAGTATTGGCCTCTTTTTAGCTTTAATCATATAGTTGAATTGTATGTTTTGGTTTCTTTATGTTAAGTGTGTGATTGTTGAAATAATATGAATCAAAGAATTTCTTTAATAAATAATAAATTATAACTTTGAGGAATGTTAGTTATGACTGTTATGAGTATAATGTTTATATGCGTTTGTGAGTTACACTTAATGTTTTTCACTTCTCGGTTTAAGACTATCATCTGTTAAAATGCAAAAAACATAATACAAATGCTTATAAATTACCATTGTCACGTGTGCAATGTTTTTGTCCGTCTAGACGGTCTCCGTATGCGTAGTTTGTACCTTATAGATAATGACCGGATGTGTGTGCGTGTGGAGAGAGAACCCTCGGTCTAGTATACCGAAAATGATTACATCAATTATTGCAATAATATTATTGGAAGAAATTTGAAAATAATGATGATATTTTTTTCAAAACACAGCGTGTTTGAATGATGTTTACAGCAAAGAATTGAATACAAATGAATCTCGTATGCGACACGTTGACTAAAAGAATAGAATTTTTTATTGCCTCATTAAATTATTATGTATCTTACCGTGTGAACCTGGCAATTAATGTGACATATCAATTCGTGTATTTCGTTACAAATGTGTGCATGTACTCGAATATTGTGATTTTACGTTAAGTAAACGTGAATTAATAATTTTTGCCGCATGTTTCAAAATATTCGTTTATCATAGCACGTGCAATCTACAGATAAATCATTATCAGCTATCATAAATATATTATGCTGATGTGCCATGTGCGGGAAAAAAGTTATCACTGAATTACACTCGTAATAATTTTGCTTAAGCTGAAAAACGATAAAAACGATAAAAAAAAAATAATCATAACAATATATTATTCTTCACAAAATCTCATGGCGGTATTCCATTGTGGGAATAATTTCTCTCTGACGAAATAAATGTCAAGGTATTACCACACGTCGAATACGTTTTGAAAAACAAACACTACCTGCGATTTATGCATAAAAGTATACTTTATATATAATAAAATTGGTCGATCCATATAACACGTATACGAGGTGGCTTCGCAATCAGCTGTAGCTGTCAATGCGATTATACCAAACTGGGGGAGGGTGGTATTATTTTCGCTGTCGTTAACTCGACGGTCACGATATATTTGCTGTCTTATACCCGGGAAATTATTAAGCGGTGTATATATAGCCTCGTTTAGGCCTAACCGAGTCGCGGTGGTCGCTGTTACCCCGCCGCCGTACGGGGCGCTGGAATAACTGCTGGTGCATTATTATTGGTAAATCAAAAATTTGAGCTTGAATTAAAAACTGCGGGCGTTCGCACATAGGAAAATTCGAAAAAAAAACTCTTTTGTAATATTTCCCAACCAACCAACACTCGATACACCGGTCCTCGCGTGTCGTAACTCGTACATAATACGACGATAGCGTTATTATAAAATTAAAATTTAAAACTCGGTTTCTCTTTACGCGCCGCATCGCTCGAGTACCTATAATAACGCACGCTTATATAACATTTATTATATTATTATATTATTATTTTGAACACTCCGTCCGACAGTCACCTCTCGCCCGTTTCTCCCTGCCCGTTCCGTCGAATAGCGCACCAATCGCGCATAGTTCGTACCAGAACCGCCGCCGCACATACTATAATATCATACTGATGGGTAAAATAATTGTTTGTTATAATTTTTTTTCTTTTCTTTCTGTTGTGCAGACACAAAATCGACCACGCGCAGTGGCCACGGAAGTGGAACACTGGTGGCAAGAGATGGTGTCGTCGACGGGCAGCAGCAGCAGCAGCAGCAGCAACGGTGGCGGTAGCAACCAGGGATCCGTGTCGTCGGAGCCCAGACGCCGCCAGGGACAAGGTCGTCGCGGCGGAAACGGATCCGGAAAGCAACAGCAACAGCAGCAGCCCCAACAACAGCAACAGCAACAGCTGCAACAGGACCAACAGCCACTTCCGCCCCAGGCGCCACTGGGCTCGCGGTACAAGACGGAAATGTGCCGGCAGTACATCGAGAAAATCAAGTGCGCGTACGGCGACAAGTGTCAGTTCGCGCACGGCGAACAGGACCTGCGCCCCGTGTTCCGGCACCCCAAGTACAAGACCGAGCCGTGCCGCTCGTTCAACTCGGCCGGATACTGCCCGTACGGACAGCGGTGCCACTTCGTGCACAAGGGAGACGGTTACATCCAACCGGCGTCGCCCGCCTCGCCGCCGCTGTCCACGTCGTCGTCGTCCGGCATCGGCAGCGACGGCGGCTCGCTGGCCGACCTCGGCCTGGGCATGCTGGACGGCATGTTCACGCCGCCCCAGTCGCCCGAGGGCCGGTTACCGGTGTTCAACAGGCTGTCCGGCTCGCCGCCGGCCACCGGCGACGTGTTCTCGTTCCACGTGCCGGCCTGCAGCACGCTCGTCGCGCCGTCGTCGCGCCGCCTCAGCGAGCCCGAACCCGATTTCGGTTTTTACGGGTTCTGAGCGCCCGCCCCCGCCCGCCCGCCGCGCACATCCCATCCATCACCGCCCGCTCCCCATCCCCGCCACTCCCCGCTCGTCGGCCGTTGCCACATTGTTCTAATATTTTTTTTTTTTTTTTTTTATATATATATAATATACCAAAACGTGATAACTGTCTTGTGTACATAGTTTAAATTATATTACTCGTTAATTAATTTAGTATTTTTTTTTTCTCTCTTTTTTTTTTTTTTTTTTACCACAACTCTAACGGCGTTCGTTTTTACAGACAATTATTATAATTATTATATTATGATATTATCATTTCTGATGTTCCGAATTTTTTATACTTACGCTTAACTCTTATGTAATAATTATTATTATGTCGTACGTGTACTATATTTATACGTATATATATACACACACACACGCTCGTGTATATATATATATGTATATGTGTGTGTGTATAAATATATATATAGGTACGCCGTGTTGGGTTATACTATATATTTATATATATATATATATATATGTACACATGTAATCATTCCTATCGTATTCGCACACACACACACACACACACATACACATATTCGTATATGTATAATAAAAATCATACTTTCTTTCTGTTCCGATATCACTCCGCTCTCCTCACTCTCTGTCGATCGCGATCCGACTTTGGGCGCGCACGCGTCGTCCGCCGATCGAGAGAAAAAGAAACGAAAAGAAACCGATAACACACACAACATTTACGATGATTTAAATGATTATTATTATTATTATTATACGCCTGTAACGATTATTATTATTATTTTACTTGGATTTATTTTTTATTAACTTTATTATCATTACTTATTAATTATTATTATTATTATTATGTTATTTAGCGTTTAGTTTTGGTCCGCGTTAACCGGTGCACCCCGTCGTCGGATTACCACGCGGGGTGCCGTTATTTTTTTTATTATTATTATTAATATTATTTTGACCGCTCGCGTATGCGAACGCGTGGTACGATGTCGTCAGCGTGACGACCGTCGTCGTCGGCGGGGCTCCTTTAGCGTCGTACGAGGAAAATTTCTGAATGGGATAAAAAAAAAAAAAAAACCGGGCGGACGCCGAGCGCCGCAGCACCTGATCGCGCGCCCGGAAACTGGCCGGAAGTCGCGTTTTTCCGGATCTGTACCGGGGTGTACGCGACGTCAGACCGCCGCGCTCGACGCCGCTCGCGTTTTCCACAGAATTTGTCCTTTAGGGCGGTATACTGTGCCCACGCCGACGATCGTGTCGTCCGTGCGACGTGCAGCGTATTTGCGTTCGAACGCGTCCGGCGAACCATTATTATTATTATTATTATTATTATTATTATTATACCTACTCGTACATAAAACTGACTTCAATGTTATGATTTTTATTATTTTTACTATTAATCCCCTTTTATAACTATTATTCGAATAACTTAACTAAAAAAAAATATGAAAAAAATGAAAAAAAAAAATAAGAAAAAACTGTATATTTATTTTTATTTATTATCATTAATATTATTACACGCGCACGTTGACCGACTCATAACAACTTTAATATTATTATATTATTTATTATGTACATATATACATGCTTCAATGTACCAACCGTACGCGCGTCATCCATTCTATATCCAATGTAGTAATAACGCGTGTAAATCTTAAGTAGCAGATGTGTGTGTGTGTGTACATGCCGTTTGTTTTTATTTTATTTTTTTTTGTAATGTTTTTTACGATAAAAAATAATTATTATCAATCCGTTTTGCTGTAACTCAAATCGATTTAATTTATAAATTATTAATTTTTTTATGTCCGATCACGCGTAAGTTAGTGAAAAAAAAAAATAATAAATAAAAATTATGCAATATTTTCCAATCTATATCGGTGTACTGCGCAGAATTAACTCGACTCGACTTAAAACTCATTTGTGTATCATGTGCTCGTCGTGTGTGACTTATTTATCTTTTTATTTGTATTCGTGTGTTAAGCTCGTATTTACTATACTGTAGAATCGTAATTTATTAATTTATTATTTTGGCAGAACGTACCTCCCCAGTCGTTCTTTTTGTACTTTTAATATTTTTTAAAAAATCGATTATATTATATTGAGTTTTTATTTATTTTTTCTATATTTATGTATTTAGCCAACCCTCGTCAGTTACTCTCACACTGTTCTGTTTGATGTATAACATAAACAAAAATTAATCATCTATGTCTTTTGGTAATGTTTTTAAAATAATAACTATTTATGTACACATAATTTATGTATCATGTGTGTTCTATCGAAATTGTACTTAATTATTATCTCAGTGTCATTTCGACAAACTCGTTTTGTATTACTCTTATTTTAATTATTATTATATTATTATTAATATATCATAACGTGTGTTTGGTTGATAGTGAAAACGAAAAAGTAATAATAAAAATATATCGATAAAAAAATGAAAACCTCGTTTGTATTGTTTTATTCCGTTTGCCTCCTATTATACTATCTCGTCCTGGCCACCAAGCGCCTTCCAAAAATAAGGCACCGAAGTCGTATTGCTGTCCGGTTGTCACGCGGTGCTGTTGTGGCGTAACAAAAAAAAAATATAAATATTGGCTCGTCTCCGCTGGCTACCCACGCAACGAAATCGCGGTTTAAGAATATACCGGTGACAACCGCGCGAGTATACCTCGCCTCTGTATACGTTTTTTTTTTTTTTTTTTTCTTTATTATTGGATAGCGTATAACATCACAATTACGATTTATTACTATCTAGTTGGCCGCCGTTCCTTTCCGCCTGCAGTGTGCAGCCTATATCGTATGTATACCGACGTATAATTTTATTGTTATAATTATTATACGATCGGTGCCGTGTATAGTACGCCAATAATTCACGACGACGACGACGACGATGATGACGATGATGTATTTATATATCTATTATGGCAAATAGGAAGTGATTTCGAGGCAAAAACAGTACGCAGACTCGATTCCGTGAAGCGGGGGGGGGAAACGCCGGCTATAACGTCTAAGTGAGTATTCGCGTGTTATTGTTATTATACAAGACGCATAAAAGGTACACGGTAATGTATATATATATATTTATAATAGCGTACGGACCGGTATCATTGCGTGAGTGTGCGTGTATGGAGTGATACGGTATTAGTATACAATATAGTGATATACAGTAAAATACTAAATAGTAATACTAGTAAGTAGTACCTATATACCTAATATAATTTAGTAGTAGCAGTGAACGGCCGTCTTGCGCAATACGTGTTACGGACCGGATCGCTTGCGCCGGGGAAAGTGGTTTTTTTTATCCCTATTACTTTTTAATCGCATCGTGCGCCCGAGGCTTTTCCGCGTCTAGTCGTCGTCGTCATAATACACGCGCGCGCGTTCAACGATGATCATATTATATTATATTATGCGATGATGCTGCGATTTGTGGCGTTAAAATATATTATTCGTCGTAACCACACAAGCGACACGCGGCGAGCTCGGTAGATTTAAGTGCGGACGATCGTCGCCGCTTTTTATTTACAGCCGAATTCTCGTGTTTCAATACTATAGAAACGAGAACGTCCACTCCCCCCTACACACGCTCGCACACAAAAACTTGTGTTCGAAGCGTGCGCGCGACAAGGTTTTTCGGTCGTTGAACGTATACTGCCTTAATAATCTACCCATAGAATAATCCGAAAACCGATCGGTTTGACAAATAATATATTATGCAAAACGAAAAAAAAAAAATAATAAGAATTGTGTCAATTGCCAGCCAATCGGTCGGGCCCCGATTGCGATATTCGGCCGGTTCTATACGAGCGATTGTACACAGCGGAGCTGTCCGTTCGGTGGGTCGGTGGGGCAATCATATTTCACACCTAACGCGAAAAGCTATACGCGCTACTGCCGTCGCTGACTCAATTATATTGAAGTGATTATGATAATATGAGTTTATAACTCGGGTTTCACTTGTAGCAGTATATCATAAATTATACAATATAATATATTAAAATCAGTAAAAACGATATTATCCACGCACAAGTACGATGCGAAACGTTTCGAAAACGCCCGTTACTCTTGGTTTTGTTCGTAATCCAAGTGTATAGTATAACATGGACCACTGCGAGCTGACGGAATAGGTACTCTCGCGGTAATGAGCAACGTCGCGTTGAAATAGGTGTGTGGGTGTGTGATATCAATTGCGTATATTATGTACCTATAGACTGTAGATATATTATTATGCTATTCGATTCGACGACAAAAAAAAAAAAAAAGTCAATTTCAAGCTCAACAAATTTTTGGCACAAAATTGTACAAAATATACAAAACGTATTGTTAACGCCGATGCCCTTAAAATGTACCTACCATGATGAGAATAGAAAAATATGTTTTCAGTGGAAAGAATCCAAACAACGAATAAAATACAACTATCACCGAGTAAATTGAAATATCGTTTTCAACGAAGGTGCCTCCCCCGACCTAAAAAATCTAAGTCTACGACGTGCCTGCGCCCTCAACACTGCTGCAGTTTCCGGCCGTTGAATTGCCTTTTTGTTTTCAACACTGCAGCTGTAATTGTCGAATTCCGGATAATTTTTCACGAGAGAGCATGTCGTCGTCGATGTTATTTTATTTGCCAGACGATAAAATTTAATTGCTTACAAATTACAACTATTGCACGCTCTTATACGAGAGAATAACGTTAATCGCCGGTTCAATACATTATAATTTATGATATAATATTACATATTATTTTTATTGAACCTTAACGCGAGTTTTACGAGCGCACTCGACCTTATTTACCGTATATACAAGTTGTGTACTTGTTATTTAAATCACAGTATCCTCATATAATCTCTTTTCGAAATGACGTAAAAATAATTGGCACGATATGAACACAATGATGTACACGAACAAATGAACATGTGCGCGTATTTTAAGAAATATACGCGTGTTGTTTTAAATATAATTCATTTCGTAGTAGAATATGTACAAATCACCGTCATCATCATATTATTATAATTATTATTTATCATACATAATTATTATCGTTGTATTACGCGTATACGAACTATATCGTACACGCAGGCAGCAGCAACGGGCGAGAGAGGTATGACCGTGTAAAACGTACATCACACAGGCATTTTTTAATATT